TGGGGGTTATAAGTCTTTTTGTTTTTTTTTTTTTTTTTTTTTTCTAATAAAGGCTTGTATTTGAGTCAATCCCACTATGGTGGGTGACATGTGGATAACACTTCATTAGTAGTCCACATATCATGTGGGATATGTAGGTCTAAGAAACACATAAAATTGTGCTATACTTAATTTTAATTTGGTGTACTAATTAATATCTTTTATGCAATCTTTCAACTGCAACATTATATTAGAAACAATCTAGTGGGAAAGAAATCTCCTATCCCATCTGGAGTTTAATTATCTCATCTTCAAAACTAACTTTTTCTTGGTAAAATTAACTTTAACTACAGAGGAAAAACTGAACACTTTCCTAGCTTGCACCACTGGAATTAGTTTATGTACTTAATAATTGCATGAAAATGCACCTGAATATTGTTTTTATTTATATAATATTAAAATATTTAAAATTTAATTTTGAAATATTTTAATTAGAATTTGTCTAGTTTTCACTTAATTATTTACAGATGAAAACCAGTGTGAAAAGCTACACAAGAAAAAGGCATGAAAGTCATGTTTTCAGCCAATTTAAGCGACCAAGCCAAGCCAAGCCAAGTTCCGCGTTCCCCCAGCTTTCCACGTGCGCGTTGTGACAACCATCAATCTCATGAGGCCTTTTGGAGTAAAACTCAAGAACATAACCGTGCGGGCTCAGGCCCAAAGCGGACATATCATACCAGGTGGGAGTGCGGGTCGTTACATGCGCAACCACCAGGACGTGTTTCCTTGACGCAATTACCAGGGCATTCCAGCCCAGTTCCGCGTGGGTCCCGTACAACAGCCGCAGTGTTTTCCAACCTTCTTCGTGCACGCCAGTAGTCCACGCGGGCTAGCTTTCCTCCTTTCCGCGTGTTCCACCTGTCCAACGCGGGTCCCAGCTATCTTCAACTGCCAGCGCCCTCTTCTTCTGAGAGCGCGACATGCGGCAACTCAACTCCCTTCACCCAGTCTACGCGCGACACGTGGCATTCGCAGTACATAATTGTCTGCAGCTCTTTTTCTTCTCCCAAATTTAGTACAATAAATATGCTCCAAATACCCAGCCTTCTAATCACAGAATAATCGACTCAGATTTTCCTTATCAAGAAATATTTGATTTTTACAAATTGATTATAATTTTATTTTGTTTCCATTTCTTTGTAATTTTTCATTTTTTAGAATTGTTTCCTTATTTGTGAGGCAACTCCTAAACACTATAAATATAGAGGTTGGCTTAAGTAGAGTTTGTTCATATTCAAGTTTCTGACGCCTTGCTGTCATTCTCATATTTTCTTTCTAGAACTTGTGAAAATGTTTTTCAAGCTAGGCTAGAGTTCTTTTGGTGAGAATAGAGCTAAACTTTTGTTAGTGATCCAATTCGGGTTTTGATTTCTTGTGTTGTAATGTTTAATATTTGAATGAATTAAATCTCATCTATTTTTCATTTATTTTTCAAAATATTGTATACCAACTTTTATATAAGTTCAGTCATGCTTATCTTATGTAGTTCTGTCATGCCTATTTTGCTATTAGAATTATTTTGCGAGTTGTCTTTTACTGCAATATTGTCAAATTGATATATTGTCGATTTTGAATAACTTATAATAATACTATTTTCAGAATCAAAATAATAAGGATTTAATTTATTCGATACTTTTATTTTGTGAATCAAAACTTAAATTGGTGAACGAAGTATAAGGGATTCTCGACATTTTACCGTTTTTACTATTGAATTTTCTTCACACAAATCTTCTCTCATTTCATTTTATTTGCAATAAAATTTCTAAATATTTTCTTTCTTTAATTTATTTTGTCAGTTTATTTTTCTCTAACGTTCTTTTTCTACTAATCTTTCAAGTTGTTCTTCCCACCTCTCCATGGATACGACTATCCTTCTGTGCTACAATTGACCGTTGTGATCGACACGTTTAGGCGTTAATCAGTACTCCATGTAATATAAATCTAAGGCCTTGTTAGTTTCATGGATTTTAGTTTCCAATTCGAGTTATTAACTATAGAAACTTTAATTAAGATGTGATATTTAATTAAGATGTGATATTTTCTGAAAATTTTTAAATGTAATAAAAAAAGTTAAATGTGACATTTTTTGAGTGTTTTTAACTATAGAAACTTAAAATTAAAAACTCAAATCGGTAAAATGAAGAAGGCCTAAATTGTTTTTTCCAAGTCACAACATGTAGAGAACCAGATTAGGTTGCTTAGAAAGGATGTTATGGAAACCTTAGTTCATAATTAAACGTGTAGACCCATGTATGTGAAATTAATTGTGTGGATCGCTCAATGATATCGGCACAACTAAATAAATAATGTTTTTTTCCTTTAAAAAAATCTAAAAAGTACTCTCTCCAAAGAGGCAAGTAAACTAAGACTTCGTTCAGTTCGTTGATTCGAGTTTTCAATTTGAGCTGAGATGTGATTTTATGTAAGAGCTTTTTAACTGTAACAGAAAAAGTTAGATGTGACTTTTTTTTAAAGCTTTTAACTGTAATAAAATTGAAATTGAAAACTTGAATCGATGAAATTAACGGGACCTAAGTTCACATTCTAACTTAAATTTCATTGGTTTCAAGTTAATTTAACTCTTTCCTTAAAAAAAATTAGTTTAATTATTTCTAATTAGGAGGGGCTCTCATTTTGATATTTTTCATTCTTTAATCTTGTACATGATTGATTTAACTAACTCACAATCTAGGACTCAACATCCATTAAAAATTACATTTTGGATAGATGGACATTATTTCAGATGAAAAGCTGATAGAATATATAGGGATAAGTTTAAGTGATACTAGGATTCATTACTATGACTAATGACTATCATAGTTTTAAAATCTGCTCTCATATCTTTTTGAGTTTAAAAATTGGAAAAATCTTTTGGGTCTTCATATATAAATAGGTAAGGTCTCCGGTCAGGCACTTAGAAAGTATCTGACCGGAACGATAGTTGTATATTTTTACATAAATTGTGTATATTTATATGTAAATCGTATATATTTACATGTAATTCGTATATATTTAACATGAAATGCAACAAATCAGTCAATATACATATTTTTATGCTATGTGTTCACTAATTGCTATAAAAAATACATATTTTGAGGATTAATATACATTATCGTTTCTTATAACTTAACATACACGACTTTATATGTAAATATACACAATTTACATATAAATATACACAATTTATGTAGAATTATACAACTGCCGTTCCGGTCAGACACTTTTCAAGTGCCTGATCAGAGACAATTCCATATAAATATATCTTCACCAAAGATTAGACATATATATATATATATATTCAAAAATGTAATTCTCTTGGAAACATAATATTGTATTTCAAGCACTAAAATTATACAGACATAAATGGACATTACTGATTCTTATGACACTACCCTTAGGTAAGAGAACAAACTTCCCCTTTAATAAAAGAATATATTTTTATGAAATAAATATACATAATTAAAAAAAAAAGCTAAAAGGAGGAGATAAATAGTATTAACAAGACAAAATGAAGTGACAATAAATAAATAAAAATATGTATAAGAGAGCTAGGTAATTAAAAAAATATAGATCGCGTTTGTTTCACGCTCCTACTTGAGAGTTGTTCCTATTCCCCAACACCATTGGCCATTGTTGCCTTCTTCGTCTTCCTCAGAATAAGAAATCGATAATATTATATTATATACACATTTAAAAAGAAAAAAAGAAAAGAAAAGAAAAGAAAAAACAATATAATATATTTAAGCTTTTCGTGTTAGAGAAATGACTGCGTCTTGAGTCTCCCTTTGATTGTCTCCTCCCACTATTCTCTCCTTCCTTTCTTCCTTAATTCCTCTTCCTGTCTTTCTCTCTTTCTCTGAGCTCTCAACCGGACCCTTTTCTTTTTGTCGTCGTTTTCTTCAGCTCAAATCTCTTTTTCTCTTCTATTTTCTCTATAAAATTTCATTTCCCCCACTTCCATCCATAAAAATATACAAAAACAATTTTTTTCTTTCTTTTCTCTTTTGTTTTTTAAATTTCCCGAGTTCGTTTCTTTTTATATGCATATAAACACCCAAAGAAAAAGAACTGTTTTTTTTTTATTTAATATATTTCTCCTTCCTTGTTTTCTGTAATTTTTTCCTTTCTCTATTTTATGTCTCCAAATCCATGGCCGGTCTTGATTTAGGAACTGCTTCTCGCTACGTTCATCACCACCCGCTTCCCGTGGACTTGCACCTCCAACGACCACAACACCAACACCAACAACAAAACGACAACTCCGTTGACCAACAACAACAGCAACAACAGCAATACTCTTCCGACCATCAAAACGACGACGTCGACGCGTCAAACCCGGCGGGGGACATCGTGGGCCGGCGGCCCAGAGGCCGTCCCCCAGGGTCCAAGAACAAGCCCAAGCCGCCGGTGATAATCACCAGAGAGAGCGCCAACACCCTCCGGGCCCACATCCTCGAGGTTGGCAGCGGCTGCGACGTTTTCGACGCCGTTGCCACCTACGCGCGCCGCCGCCAGCGTGGGATCTGCATCTTAAGCGGCAGCGGCACCGTCACCAACGTCACTCTCCGTCAGCCCGCCGGCGCCGGCGCCGTCGTCTCTCTCCACGGGAGATTCGAAATCCTGTCCCTCTCTGGGTCTTTCCTTCCCCCGCCGGCGCCTCCCGGGGCTACCAGCCTGACGGTGTTCCTCTCCGGCGGGCAGGGGCAGGTGGTGGGGGGAAGCGTTGTTGGGGAATTGACCGCGGCGGGGCCCGTCATCGTCATCGCGGCGTCGTTCACGAATGTGGCCTACGAGAGGCTGCCGTTGGAGGAGGAGGATCAGGGGCAGGTGCCGATGCAGGCGCAGGCGCCGGGTGGAGCGGGAAGCGGCGGAGGAGGTGGAGGTGGTGGTAGTGGATTCGGCGACCCGTCGGCGGGGCTGCCGTTCTTCAATTTGCCGCTGAATATGCAGAATGTTCAGCTGCCGCCGTTCTGACCATGAATATGATTGAGGGTTTTGTGTATTGGAGGCTGATTTGCGTTTGAAGATATGATGATGATGATGATGGGGTTTTTATGGAAAAGGTCAGCAAAGTTTATTATAAACTTGATCATCATGTGTAGTAGTAGTAGTATATTGTTTACTGTCATATCCTCTTCATACGGCCATGTTAATTTCTTCCTAACTTCTTCATATTTTCGGCTACTCTGTTGATCTTGTTGTAGTTTCTTGATCTTCTTTTTTTTCAACCACTTGTTTCTTCTTTTTTATTTGATTTCTTCCTAATTTCCCATCTTGGGTTTTAGATTTTGTGGAAAATATCCTTGTGGAACTCTCTTATAACTTGATCTTCTTATTTTAAAAAAATAAAAGAAAAACTTTTGTTTCCTCATATAAGGAAATGGTTTGAGAATTTACGCTGGCCTTAAGTTCACTAAATGAATATGGTGTATGTTTGAGAACTTGCTGTTAGTTACTGGAGTTTTTAGGTAGTGAGAGTAAGAGTAACTGAGATCAACTGATTTTTTTTTTTTTGAATTTTTTTTTCCTTTTTCCCATTTGTTTTATATATCCTGACGAGATTCTATTTTTCGATAATTAATATTATGTTTTGTCTTGATGACCAAAAACATAGTTTTCTGTTGCAATATATATTATCATCTCTAATTTGATTTTGCTCAGAATTAGTTTGCATTATAAAAGTCTTTGGAGTAAATTAATTAATTTTCTAGGGTTGTGGGAATAAAGGAATATATTTATTTGGTTTTGGCATTGTTTCAATATATTATATACAATACAACACTTTAACATTAACAATAAACTGATTCCTTCCGATAATAATAATAAAAAGCAAAGGTTTTTATCAATCCAAAAATTGATCTTCTTTTACGGGGTAGGTGATTTGGTTCCTAACATGTAACGATGTTTAAACTTTACTTTCTTAAACTTGCTTCTTTTCAACTTCTTTCTCCAATGTATATGTAAAGATACAGAAGAAACTCGGAAAACCAAACAACTTGTTAAGAAATTTGTCTAGTTAATTATCTTCATCACCTTAATTTCTTGTTGGATATTTGAGCTCACTATTTCTTATCGTCATTTATCATATTGTCATTCACTTAGTAGTTTTTTGGAATAAACTGGTTTTGTCGTGTAAAAATAATAGTATGCACTTCTATATCTAGTAATTAATTCCCTCTTTAATTGGTGGCAAGATCACATAAAATTAAGGCCAGTTTTAGATCTAATAGATTATCTGTGAAGCTGTTATGATCTTCTCCTTAACGCTGAGTTTGTGTCCAGAACCAAATTTTACATTTTTCATGCAGCTGATAACAATTTTGTATTTTTTATCCATATATATGGTTCTTATTCGGATCCAACCCTAGGACTGATAACTTTAACTTCTTCTTCTTCTTCTTCTTCTTCTTTTAATATCTTTCTTTTTTTTTTTTTTGGGTAAAATCTTTCAATATCAAGTTAAGTTAAAGCTGAAATAGCTAAAAACAAGTCAAAACAGACTAAGCAAAAAACCATTTAAATAAAAAATAAAAAAATAAAAAGCCTTGACCTTCATAGTACGGCCTAGGACTAATATTGTACTATCAACGTTTTCTGGGAATGGAATAGATTTCATATAACATATCATATATTAAAAAAAAAAAAAAAAAGCCTTGACCTTCATAGTACGGCCTAGGACTGATATTGTACTATCAACGTTTTCTGGGAATGGAATAGATTTCATATAACATATCATATAACATATAACTTAGAGAAAACCTTAAATTTCTTTTACTAATCTGCTAATTAAAACACTTTGTTACTTTATTAGTGTGCACAACACATTCTCAATTACCTTCGGTTCTTGATGATCAGCTTACTGATTTACTTGAGTTCATGAGTTTTGGATCAATTAGAAACAGACTAGTTAGTCTAGTACTTAGTTTTGAATTACTTTAATTTTACATAAGTTGAGTACACTTCACCGTACATGTGTCTTTCAAATGAATTTCATGAGATGTTTTGTGTATATATATATGTGTGTGTGTGTGTGTGTGTGTGTGTGTGTGTGTGTGTGTGTGTGTATATAACCATTCATTCATGCATGCATCTCTGCAGAACTCTTTAAACCAGCTTGAATATTGAATTGTTGAGTACTGATGAGTCGTTTACCATAACAGTTCAATAAAACTGATCAGGAAAAACTTTGCAAATAAAGCTACATATATTGAAATGTTATTGTTCAGTAGTGATCCATTCTTCGTTATATAAAAAATAAAAATAAAAATAAAAATAAATCCACACACACAATTACGTCATACGGTATCAAGATTTTCCAAAGGTTGTAAATTTTTATTCTCCACTTAAAAAATGTTTACATGAGGTGCTGATGAAAAAAAAAAAAAAAAAGAGTAGTAATCTAGCAATTACAGTGAAACAACCCGTACGTACTGATCCAGCATTGATAATAGTAAATCTTCAGCACATGATTCCTTAAAGCACTTTCGTTTAATTAGGATTTATATATATAGGAATATGCTTGGCGATATCCTTCTAACATTCCAGGCATTCCTTAGGTTAAAAATGGAGATTTGTGAGCTTAATTTCCTTACTGTCTTCTGTGGGAATTAAACACCAATTTAAATTTTGGTCTGTAGTATAACCGGTGACATGCTTTTTCATATTAATATGTATACTAATTTACTCATAGACCATATATATCTGATCATATAGTAATAATCTTCTATCCCTATTTTTATTGTAAGAATTTAGGTGCTTCACAGGCATAAAATTGGTTCAGCTGCTCTTACTATAATTACTAAATATCAAACCATTTAACCCAATGGGAAAGAGATGATGAATATCGTTTCATGCATAATGTTATCGTTAATGTTGTTTTATTTCAACTAAGTTACTTTTAGTTAGCTATTACTGAGAACAAAAAACCTCGACTCTTCGCAATGTTGCAGCAATGCTTTAGTTCATTGGCTTTTTGCAATGCAGCAACGAATAAGTAATTACTTTAGCGAATCAATTTGTTTTTCCCGACTTCCCTACCTTTACCAATTAGCCATCTGCTTGTAGATGAAAGGTGATCCTCATAAACAAATTAATATTGTGAACTGAATAATTAGTTTATCATTTTATTGGGAATAATGACCTTTAAAATTGAGAACAATGATTTCTTCCATCAATTAAATCCACATGCTTTTCTATATATTCTTAAAAAAGAAAAAAAAAAACTATATATCCTTTAGACATAGCTACGCATAATATTAAATGCTAGCCACTCTATAAATTTTTGCATATATAATTATCAGCGCACTAATTTACGATAACTAAATGCTATCAAAACTTATTTGGCATCAGAATTTGCAACTCTAATCTACGATAACTAAATGCAATCAAAACTTATTTGGCATCAGAATTTACAACATTCAAACTTAATTTGGGGTTTACTATCAAGTAACTACAAATTCAAATTACTTGTCTAATTTTGACATTTAAAATATGATGTGTCGAAGTATTTAAAAAATTTAAAATGTTTCTTAATTCACTTATCAAGATTTTTTTTTTTTTAATTACACATCATTTGAGACATCAAAAATTAAACATGAGATCTGAATCCAAAAACTACGCTATAGTTAGATGACTTTCCAATTGTGATAAGAGATACAGGATCTAGATGTCCATACAGGAAGTCTAGAGGTTTCTTTAGTAAGATCTGCCTTTTGAAGACAGATCAGGGCCATGTCCCAATTTTTTGCTACCCCAAATTTGGCATGCTGTGGTTTAATTGTACCTCAACATGTTGATCTACATATATAACTCGGTACATATAGAAGCAGTTTTTTAACATTTCCATCCATAGATCTCAAAATAAGCCAGCGGGGATGTTGGGGAGACTTTTTATTTTATTTATCCCCTCGCTTCATTAAAAAAAAAAACAAAAACAAAAAAAAAACAAAAGAAAAAAGAAAAAAGCAGCCTTATAAGCCAGTTAAACTGATATTTCATTGAGGACTAATTTATAATAACAAAATGCTGATAGATCACATGTAATCTATCATCGATTGTAATATGTAAAAAAGACAATAGAGTACTTTATATATTAAAAAAACTAATTATTGCATCTAATCATAGGGAAATAGGAAAAAGAAGGAAAAGATAAAATTAATTAAAACAATCCTATCTTCATTCAATTATTGTGTAAAAGTATAACTATTACATCTTACATTACATTTTTTTTTTTTTAAAAAAACATCTTAGATTACATTTCTCATAGTAGTACTACAACAAATGAAAGATCTTGACCATCTTTCGTCTATATATGTGTAATTTCTATAATAGTGTTATATTAAGCACTAATATACAAGCTCAACAGCTGCCTGAAAAGGACTTATTCTTTTGTTAATTTAGATATGTTTGAGGTATATATAATATCGTCAATATAAGCTCCACTTGTCTTTAATTAATAGCGTCGATTGAATGGACAAAATCCACCCTGTCATGGTTAGGACATAATTATTATGATCTAAGTTTACCAACATAAATTAAATAGTGCAAATATGCTCGAAAAGATTGTATTTAAATATGAGCTGACTGAGTCATATTAATCGCAATTTAATAACTAATCTTACCTAGACTTCCACATTTTGATTAGTTTTAAGCTGTCACCTTTACAGATAATATTTAAGAGTGGTTGAGCAAATCATCTCCACAAGAAAAGAAAAGAGTATTATAATTAATGTATGTTCTTTTATAATTTTTAATGTGAATTAAATATGTAATTAATCAATTATTGTAACTACGTGTTAAGTTGTTTTATATGGTGCTGTACAGTGGTTAATGGGGGCAACAATGATGATTACAAAGTACTTCAATGTTTGCTTTTATTCTGCTTTCCTAGGACTTCTTTGCTTTAGGAGACTTTTCCCAAAAAAAACTAAAAAAAGAAAAAAAAAAAATATATATATATATGGTTTATTTCCTTTAATTGGTTAGATGACTTGTATAACTTTATTAAAGATCCAAGTCATGAATGAATAAGTGTATAAAGATCATACTAACGAATTTTTAAGCTAGAAATCATATATAGCATACATGTTTGAAATATATATGTTTTATATATATATATATATATATATATTTATTATCATATATAATTAAGCATTAAAAATGATATGCAATCATATCTGTGAAAGTTATTTAAGATGTCGTAGACAGTGATAAATGTTGACTAGAGA